CTCTAAGAAAGGGTCAGCTCCAGGTTGACAACACTACCAGAGGCAAGTCCACAAGAGTCACCTAACCTAAAAGGTAACTTTTAGAAAGATTCAGTTATTTAGTATCATGCATGGAAAAGATATTAATTCAAGTAAATCTGATGAGATAGAAGTGGTGGGTGTATCTTGCACATTCTCACATTACAAATGCCAAATAAAATACTCATAAGATTTTTTAAGAACAAGTTAAAAATGGTTGGAAGAAGTCATTTTTTTGTGGACCTGTCTGAGATCTTTGTAGTCTTTTCTAATAATATCAGAAGTAAAATGAGTATTAACTGTAGGTAAGACAATAGTCTCTAACTGCCTAGTACTGCCAGAGTGGAATAAGGAATCAAAGGCCATATCAGTTACTCAGTTACAGGCTAACTCAATAGAGGTCCCAAACAAGATGGCATAAGCCAGCTTGGCCCTTCAAGCGATTTAGACCTGCTTGTATATAGCAGTGCCCGTCTGTGTCATAGAACTGGTTAGCACAGCCACAGTCCTGCAGTATATGGTTGTTTTCTCACAGTCATATTTTATTTTGTTTTATTCCTATTATAAGGAGTAGAAAGATTTTAACTAAGTACCAGAAGAAGACTATGCAGTGAGAGGTAATGTTTACCAGGTGTATATGTAAAGACACTATAAAAAGCAAACTATGCATTTCAATATTTATATCACAGAGAAGCAGAAATTTCACCTGAAAAACAAAATGGGAGCACTTAGCTATTTCATGTCATCGCTTGCAGAGCACTGAAGCACTGACATGATAACTGGGGCAGACATAAAGACAGGGCAGGACAAAAAGAGAGGATAACAGCTAGCAGAGCATGCAAGAACCCTGACTTGATATCACCTGAGTCATTGTGGTTTCCCCAGACTGATCCTACAAATAGCTATATTCCAGGAAAGTTTAAATTAATCTCTTTCTTTCACGTATGCCACATATGCCAACAGTGGTGAGGCTCAGTCTGAGTCTATACAAAATGCACTCATTCAGAACCTTACCACAAATGCTGCATCTAGCAAAGCTCTGCTGGAGGTAAACTTTTCCCAAGATGCGAATATAGTTGACAGGAAAAAAAAATTAACATACTTATCAGCAATAAGTGAACCCTGTAATTTGTAGAAATAAATGTCGTGAGCACAGGTAGATTTGCTTCTTTCTTCAGAGTTAAACAGGAAGACCAATATCCAGTGATTTAGACAATTCTCTGTGTCATTTTCCCTCCATCTGTCCCACTAGCCTTCACTATACACCTCTTATTGGAATAAAAAGAAATACTGGGATGTTGGCAGGAGGCTCACCTCAAATAAGACAGTAAAGATGAACCTACACTATTTGTTTAGCAGTGCTGGTCAAGCACAAGTTAACATTTTTGCTTCAAGATAAGAGCACTAAGATACTTTGGGACCCAGGAGCCGCAAAGGCAGCAACTGCTTCCACAGCAATACCAAGAGGTGTTAACTAAGGGGCTTCAGGGTTGGTTTGTACAGCACATTTTCTTTCCTCTGAATACTCAGAAATGTGGTGGTAGCTGCCACCTCACCCTTAGGTCAGAGGAGGAGTACAGGATCATAATCCTGACTCTCATCTTGTCAAGACATAACAGCTTTAAAGCCTACACAGTATAGGTGGCCATCTTTTTTGGACTGCCATAGATGCTGAATGACTCCTGCACACTGTATTTTGCTACCATTTACAGCCACTTAGCCATCTTTTTCTTGGAGAGAAGGCTCCTCTGAGGAGAAAGGAAACAGTGCTGTGCCCCAGCACTGCTGAAGCTACCACTTGTCGCGTCCTCACGTACATGCTTTCATCAGCAAAAAACTTTAATCTCAACAAGAAACAACAGATGGGAACCGACCAATAGAAAGAATTCAGAAAGAGGAGACAACATCCCAGCATGGAAGCTGTGGTTGCAGCTCCCTGCAGTGAAGTCACCTGTAGGAATTATGGACAGAGACAGTTTTAAGAAAGATTTGGGAATGGATAGCAAGAACAGAAGTTGTTCTTTTCTAAGAAACACCTCAATTACAAAAGAGCATGCAAAGGTTGCCTTTTAATAGGACACACCAGGGTAGTATTGCTGGCAGGACACCTGCATGTGCTGCTGCCTCTCACACAGGTGTCCCCTCCTTAAATCCAAGTACTCTTCTGGATGCCAGGTAATGCTGAAACATGGGATGACGTGAAGGAAAGTCTTCCTTTCCACATCATATAAGTTACACTGCAGACTCAAATAAACCACACTGTTACAGTAACTTTGCAGGGCTCAACAAAGTCAGTGCATTTTGCTGAAATTCAATGAGTTTTCTAAACAAGTAATTGTGTTAAAGAAAGGAGCACTAATAAAACATCATAAGCACAGTTTGCACAATAGATGTTTGTTATTATGCTACCAAATAAACCTGTATTTTGCCTTAATTATCTTAATAGCAGTTGTACTCAGAGAAGTCCAGAAAATACAAAAGCTTCTATCTCCATTGCAAAGGTTGAATAGACTACTAAAGCTAAAAGTCTTCCCATAACAACATACATTTTATTTTTACCTTTTTTCCTTTCTTTGTGAGTGCTCTTGCATGTGTCTGCATACAATTTACTAACTGTGCTGTTCTTAAGAGCTGGCAGACTTTTGCTCAAGCTTCCGTCATAGTCCATCTATACAGAACACATGGAACTTCTGACAAAGCAGAAAACATGGGAAAAAAAAAAGGTTGAAGAGCTTTACAAATGCTAACTGCATGTATGGAAAGGCAGGTTTGTTTCAGGGTTTTCCTTGTTGTTTTTCTCATGGACTTCCACTTCAGCATTCAAGAGGCAGGTGTTTGAAGACATCTTCAATTCTTCTTAGTGCCCAATTATCTTCATCAGCTAAACCCACTTTAGCCAAACCAGTGGGTTAAATACATCGTGCAGAAGAAGCAAAAACATCTGAAAAGAAAATGTTATACATATTAAAAAAGATTGATGTTTATATAAAAAGCAATAAACCTGCATACTTGATTTTAAACAATATTCTAACATTGATTTGTTATTCATATATTATCACAGAATCACAGAATCACAGGGTTGGAAAGGACCTCAAGGATCACGAATCTCCAATCTCCCTGCCACAGGCATGGCCACCAACCTCCACATTTAATACTAGACCAGGCTGCCCAGGGCCCTCTCCAATCTGGCCTTGAACACCTCCAGGGACGGGGCATCCACAAGCTCTCTGGGCAGCCTGTTCCAGAACCTCACCACTCTCTCTCTAAAGAATTTCCACCTGACATCCAACCTAAATTTCCCCTCCCTCAAATCAAAACAATTTCCCCTTGTCCTGCTGTTATCAACCCTTTCAAAGAGTTGATTCCCCTCCTGTTTGTAGGCTCCCTTTAGGTATTGAAATGTTGCAATGAGGTCACTCCGCAGCCTTCTTTTCTCCAGGCTGAACAAACCCAGCCTGTCTTCATAGGGGAGGTGCTCCAGTCCCCTGATCACCTTCGTGGCTCTCCTCTGAACCCTCTCCAACAGCTCCCTGTCTTTTTTGTACTGGGGACTCCACACTTGGATGCAGTATTCCAGATGGGGCCTCACAAGAGCAAAGTAGAGGGGGACAATCACCTTCCTGTCCCTGCTGGCCACCCCTCTTTTGATGGAACCCAGGATGCCATTTGCCTTCTGAGCCACAAGGGCACACTGCTGACTCACGTTGAGTTCATCTGTCAAGACCCCCAGGTCCTTCTCCACAGGGCTGCTCTCAAGGACCACTCCTTCCAGTCTGTACGGATGCCTGGGATTCCTCCGGCTCAAGTGCAAAACTCTGCACTTTGCCATGTTGAACCTCATCGGGTTCAGCCGGGCCCACCTTTCTAGCCTCTCGAGGTCCCTCTGAATGGCATCCCTTCCTTCTACCGTGTCAACTGCACAATTCAGCTCGGTATCATCATCAAACTTGCTGAGGTTGCACTCGATTCCATCATAGATGTCATTGATAAAGATGTTAAAGATGCCGGGCCCAAGACAGACCCCTGGGGGATGCCGCTCATTACCGGCCTCCACCTGGACATAGAGCCATTGATGACTACCCTCTGTCTGCGGCCTTTCAACCAGTTTCTTATCCATCGAGTGGTCCACCCATCAAATCCACATCCCTCCAATTTGGAGATAAGGATGTGGTGGGGGACCATGTCAAAGGTCTTGTTCAAGTCCAGGTAAATGACATTGCTCGCCTTTCCCTTGTTCACCGATGCCGTCATTCCATCACAGAAGGTCAGCATGACCTTCCCCTGGTAAAGCTGTGCTGGCTCTCTCGGATCAGACGCCCATTCCTGATGTGATCAAGCATGTTATCCAGGAGGATCTGTTCCATGATCTTCCCAGGCACAGAGGTGAGACTCACCAGCTTGTAGTTCCTGGGGTCCTCCTTGCTCCCTTTCTTGTAAATGGGAGTGACATGACCCTTCCTCCAGTCATCCGGGACCTCATCTGACAGCCACAACTTTTCAAATATGATGGAAAGCTGCTTGGCAACCACCTCAGCCAGCTCCTTCAGAACCCTGGGATGCACGCCATCCGGCCCTATAGACTTGTACACATTCAGTCTCATGAGGCTGTCTCGGACCTGCTCTGTCCTCACAGCGGGTGGGGATTTACCCCCCCAGTCCCCACCTAGAGGTTTAGGGATGCAGGGCTCAATCCTTTTATCCTTTTGATTTTCCATAATCAGTGACATTTAATTTGAATTCCTTTTAAGCAAGTTGTAATTAGGGCTTTATCATATTTAACTATAGGTATATAATCCCTTAAGTCAAAACAGAAACGAAAATGGATGGCACTGTGATCAGATCTCTCATTCCAAAAATATTTTTTGCCTCCAAAGCTTTGCATGGAAGAAAACACTTCTGAAAATGATACAAATAGTTTTGACATTAGGCAAAGTAAACAAGCAAAATAAACATGGAAAAATCATACGGTCAGTTTGCAAGTGCTGTTTATTGTTTGAGGCAGGGTTAAAGCCTTTTATAAAGACAAGAACATATATGCAACCAGACTGAAAGTGACATTAGGTTATTCTAAACACCCGTATTCAGAACCTGCTGCTTATAATATGCCATGGCCAAAACACGTGTAGGCTTCAAAAAGAACAATATAATATGAACAAACAAGAACTGCTGTTATTTCAGTAGCCAAGAGAGAAGACAAGCGCCATAAATACTTTTAAGAACTATTTCTGGGGGAAAAAAAAAAAAAAAAAGAAAAAAAAATGGGCCTGTAGTTTTCCTTTCTCTAGTATCTCCTAGGATAACTTGCAGGACATTGTAACTATTGTAACTATGCAGGACATTAGCAGACTCATTACAAGTGACCAAAGCCCACTTTCCAAACACCAGTTTGTGTAGCAAGTGGTATGAACTAGATCACTCTATATTGTTCATCACTGATTTTAAGTATCTGCTTGATTTATTACAGACTTCTTGAGTAAATGAAGTCTTCCAGTTACTGTGCAAGGCCTTAAACCCTCAGCAGCAGCAAACTTTCCTCTGTCACTCCATCAGTCTCACTATTTTACACAGATCAAATTTTGTGACTGGCTTAAACATCCAGTTCACTTCTCCGCACAAAAACAGTGGACAACTTCTAAAAATTAACATTTATCCTTAAGGAAAGTAAATTAAGAGCACCATCTAATTACAGACAAGCCAAACGCAGCCAGAGAGTGGTGACACTCAGCCAGGAACAATATGCATGGATTGTGAACAGTCCAGAGGACAGTATTTTTGCATATTCCTGTGCCAATCACACTGTAACTAGTAGCACTGAACATGATATATTTGTTAATTATCAGGATCATTTTTCACAGAAAGATGTTCATGATTCCAAGTATCTCAATCTGTTTCTCAGAGAATCAAGAAATAGGCTATGCATTGTTGGTTTTTCACTGAAAACTTCACAGTAGCCTTTCTTATGTAGACTCCAAATGGGATTAAACTGAACTTTTCTCCAGAACATATTAGTAAAGCTGTTAATTATGTTAATTCCGCCAGTTACTTTTATTGACATTTTTCCCTGCTGAGTAATCATATCCATCTGGTGGCAGTTTTATTTTACATCCCACTTTTTAAGCCCTTTTTTCTTTCCAAATTTAAGTGCTCAATTCTAAATGCACTCTCTACACAACTAAAATATATATTGCATAATAAACCAGGAATAATATACACTGTCAATATTATAATTGAGTGCCTTTCCAACTACAGAGAGAACCTATGCTACTATTGCAGTATTAAAAATGACCCCTCTTCTGAAGATCAAGGTAAACAAATTCGAGATGTTATTTAATAACTAGAAAATTTTGTTTGTCTGTAAAACTGCTCAAATCTTTTTCCTTCCCTTATAAGCAAAAATACAAATTGATTGTTCACTGATAAAATATTTTCTGGATATATCTTTTCATGTTGAAAAAAAGAGTAATCCATACAGGTTCATTTGTGGAAAAACCAAGAATACCCTGTGAAGAGGATTTGTGTGAGCATATAGGAGATGATAGAAACAAAAGCACTTAATTCACAAGAAAAAAAAAAAAAAAAAAAGAGCAGATAAGGGGCTTTTTCATCTGAAATTACAGCCCTACTCTTTTATAAACACTTTGATATCACCAGCACTCTCACTCAACAGGCGAGGGGGAGATAAACATGCTGCTTTTGTGTGGCGCCAGCCTATGGAGCATGCTCAGTGAAGGCCCAGGTGTGACCCCGGCTCTCCTGCGTGCAGCAGCTGGACCGGGCAATCCATCATGCACTCCTCCTGTCAGGCTGGGTGCTCTGCCACAGCTGTCTGTCACGCTGGTGGATGGGACCTGCTTAAAGGCAATCATGTCAATCTCTATGTGACTACTCAGACTGAGATGGAAGGATGATCTTGACAGGCCTGGCAAAGTCAGCAGAAGGCACTAGAGGACTTTAGTTACAGGCTTAAAATTTAGATTCAATTTGTGCTTCTCGTGTGGAGGGACTGAAGTGGCATGAAAGAATGCAGTGTTTTATAGCTGGTCGTCTCGGATGAATCTGTTGCCTTCGGAATGTTTTCCATAGTAAATGTAGCGACATTTTCCCAAGATGCCTACAGGAAAGAGGAAATGAATTGTAATTAGGAAAGTGGTGGAAATTACAATTAGGAAAGTGATGCAGAAGCACAAAAACAACTGAAAAATTTGAAAGAGGGAAGAGAATGGTTCTCTTGTCTTGTAAAAGAAAGTTTGTTCATTGGAAATATCCACTATTACCACTTCAATCAGCAGCGTGTAACCCACAGGGAAAACATATGTTCAGATACCTGTGTGAGCTATCCTGTTCAACAAATACCCACAAATGTCTTCAAAAATTGAATCACGTTGGTACATCATACATTGTATTTTAAATCACTGTAACCCTCTGCAGGTTTTGAAAAACAGAGAACATGGATTGGACTCACATTTTGTACTTTCTGCAGTCTCCATACTCTATGTTTAAATGGTTTTCCCAGTGAATAATAAACAATTCCAATAGTTAACTATGCTAAATATCTGTGCACATGGAGAATGCTTTCAAAAATCAGTCAGAACACTGCTTTTGGGAGAGTAGGCACATTATTCTCTGTGCATGCAGGAGGTAAGATGCCTGAGGAAGCTTTAACTGCTGTGAGTGAGACATACATACCTGCAGATCTCACGACTTTATTCAAAAGCATCCCCTCTGGTGGTACTAAGTGGTATGCAAAAGCGTAAGTTCACAGTCACATCCCACCTGTGAACATCCTCAAAGATGCTAAATTTTACTAGCAGAGTTATTCTTTGTTCCCCCAGGCACATACAGTCAAATTAAAGTCACCTCTCACACACAGAAGTAAGGTGAAAGAGTCTCCTCTATCTTGGGAATGTCTAGCACAGCAAGTACTGACGTACCTAGCTCATCCCCATAAGGGCACACATAACCTCGCCAAAAGGAGACAGTCACTGCCATACGTAAAGGGTAAAGATAGGGGAGGAGCTGACCCTCTACCCCCTGTAGTTCTGGCTTTCCACAACTCACACAGCAGGTATTGTAGCCACCTCCAGTATCAATGAAGTATGCAAGTTTTTATATTCTGCATCTATTTCTCCAGTGTAACATGCACCAGATAATAACCTAAAGTCTTGAAAGGCATGGGCTGTGGCCATGTAACCCATTCTCTTCTTTCCTTCTAAGACAGGACAGTAACACATTCTTACAGGGAAAAAAAAAAAAATTGATTGTCCTGTCACTCATTGTGAAAAACACATTTCAGGAAAGCAGAAGTGGAGACAATATGGTGCAGAGCCTGATCCCACTCCCTTTTCTCCACAGAGCTTTCATAATTTCAATTTCCATCATTTCAATAGTAAAACAGTTTCCACATGTAAAGCATGATGTTTTCATTCCTAAACAAGCATCTAGCAAAAAGCAAATATTTTCCCCTAAACAGATGGTATTCCAAGTCAAACTGCAGCAGGCATTATGTTGGTAACAAGGCCATTTGGAGCTCTAAATGTAAAGGATATGAACAGTTTATTAATGGTATTATTCAGACTGCTTTTTCCCTGGCATTGATAGAAGTGTTGTTTGAGGTCTGCCGCATTTCTTGAGGACTGGAAGCAAGACTGTTTATAGAGATGCTGGTGAGAGAGAGCTGTTTGATGAATGCTGGAGACTGTAGCTAGGTGTCAGCGCTTAGAAAATGAGGCAAGGACATGAGGTATTAATATTGTCAATGATCTCTTGACAGGAAAACAGATACTGCATTCACCGTCAGATTTAAATAGACATCAAGTGCATTAATGACAAAAGGGCAGACTTCAAACAAAGGGGGCTGTATGGTGCTGCACTGAGCGAGTCTCCGAGTTGGCAATAACCTGATCTGAAAAGACACTGTCAGGACTACAGACAGGCCCCGAATTGTGTGCGGTGACAGAAAACAGAGATGCTGACAGAGATACCAGTGCCATATTATGCCAAGTATATTCCTGCGCTGTCTTCAGCCCTAACTAAATCTGACATCATTTCCTATCGCTTATAGTATTCTCCTCTGCTCCAGCAGAATATTTCTCCCCAGATATCATTACAAACTCCAGTGTAGTTTTAAAGTTACTGGCAGGCCTGTTCTGTCATGGAGGTTGGGTCTAGAGGCCTAAGGATAACCTCAGTCAATCTAAATTTGGAGCTTGCTGGAGAAGTGCTCTCATTTTCACTGATATCTCAGCTACTTGAGGTGATCTGAACGCTAAAGTGTGAGGAGCTGTCACCTTGAATAAAATCCTCAAAGTAAAGACGCTCGGTTCCTGGGATGTTCAGCAAAGATGTCGGACAGTCTGGCAGCAGGAAATGAAATCCAGCTGCTGCTGCTCGCCTGGGGATAAAGGTGCTTGGGCTAGTGACAGTTAAAGTCAGCTGAAATTTTTGAACTCCTGCAGCCTACAATTGTTTAAATTAAGGAAGTGTTGTCTCCACAGAGATTCCCTACCAAGGCATACAGCTGTGATTCAATTGCCAGGCATATTACACACACACTGCTCAGAGAGTCTTGATAAAAGCATAGTTGAAAGTGTTGCCATGAAACTCTATTTATCATAAAGGTTATTTGTAAAACAATAACCTGGCTCATAAATTAAATGCAGTGACTGCTTGGGTTTTGTTTTGTTTTCTCTCTCCTTCTCCAACCTCCCTTCGACATCTGCAGAAAACCAAGAACTACAAAAAGCTGCAGTAAGGAGTCTGATGCTAAGATAAGTCATTCATGAATTTCAGCATTCTGCAGTTTGCCATCCTGCCCATCTGCAATTCTACTCTCTTCTTCCAGTTCAGGGGCGTGAGCACACTTGAGATTTTGCACACAGACAGGGGGAGGGACAAGGGGGAAAACAATAAATCCATGACTTTTGTGTTGTTTTTTTAATTAAAATATCCAGCATTGGCCATAATAAGCAAAGTACACCTCCGATGCATCAAAACAACATACAGCATCCCGAATGAGGTTTCTGCTCACGGTTCTTGAGAAATGACAACACAAGGTCTCTTGAGGGATCATCTTCCCCCAAATGAGGCTTCTAATTTTTCTTAAGTAGCTGCTTCTACCATCACCACAAGCTGTTAAAACTATAATTATGAAAAAAATGCATTGGAAAAAATCATTTTTTAATTCACTCTTTATCTTTTAAATGTTTTTCCTTTTCAGAATGGATGTTCTAATTATGCTGGTAAGTAATGACCTTGCAGTTGCTTGCATGTGTTTTGGTATCAGTCTTTCTTCACAAACACATTGTAATGTCAGCAACACCAGCTTTTCCCTAGCTGAGGGAAAACCCAATTATCCAAATAAATAAATAAATACATACATGCATACTAAAGCGCATGAGAAATTGTTCAAGTCATGTTTGCTCCTTTTAAATTGGGCACGTGTTTCAGAGAGCTATAGTGCAATTGGGTCTCCGGACACTTTCCCAGAGTAAGAAAAGTTTGTAGATCTTCATGTATTATGTAGAAAATAGTAAAAAGAATTTGCAGTGAGATGCACTAGATTTATAGATAAGACAGCCTCAGCTATTGGTCCAAATTCAGCTCAAGCCAACATAAGCCTAAGGGAAATGTTATCTGGTAGTATCTCATGGTCTCTCTTAGGTCACACTTTTTTTGTCTAATAAATAACTGCTCTGCATCTATTTGAAACACCTTTCTATCATCATTGTGAGGGGCATCTGCTAGCAGCACAGCCTTCTCTGACAGCATTCATCTTTCTTTAAAAAGCAATGGCTAAAACTAAACAGTCAAGTCAAAACCTCAGCTTCTCCCACTCAAAACTATCGTCACATCTGCTCAAGATGCCCCTCAGGCACCCATTTTAACATCAAATGTTTTTAACAAACCCTTCTGCAACTGCGAACAACAAAGTACTCACAATTTAAATTGTTTGCCAAACACACTGGTTTACAGCATACAGCAGGTAATGCATTTCAGCATACAGTCCCTTGCCTACCTATCATGTAGATTAACCTGCGGTTAGCCCACTGTGGTCAGACAGAGTGCGAAGATTGTTCACACATAGACTCAATATTCTAATGGGATTTCACTTTGCCTAAGTTTAATTTGAGTACAGTACCTAAATCCTCCACTGCCAATTTGTATTTGATCCATATTCATCTCTTTTTCCACAGCCTGCTGTTGTATAGTTTTGCTATGGGCTATTAAACAGCTGCCATGTTCCACCAAGAAGCTGGGTGCATTTCACTGTAGTTATACTACCAATCTGGAAATTGTTTTGAGACCCTTCAGGATGAAATACCAATACCATTATCTTTTTTTTTTTTTTTTTTTTTTTTTTTTTCCCCACAAGCACTTTGGCATTTTCTACAATTAATGAACAGAAGTTGCAAAATTCCCTTAAATATTAATACGAACTTCCTTCACAGGAAATAATTCCCTACCTACAACATTCAGAGGAGAATAAATACTTATCTACAAATAATTTCACATCTACAATGCTACTGATTTAGGCAAATCAGTTGTAGTAATTTCCAAGTCTAAAATCCCTTTATCTAAAGGTATAAGTGAAGCTGTTTTGAAACAAAAAAAAAATCCTTTTGCTCAGGACTTCAAGATTTTTTCTTTTTGTCTTCATGGAATATTAACAACTTTACATCTACTTGATAATTTCTTTTATTTTAAATTAAGTGAAGCACTGGGGTTTGTCAAGAAACTAGGAAACTAATAGTCTCAGACTTTCAGTAACATATATTTGGTAACATATAGACTATTTTGTTCTGATAAATCAGCATTATGCATATACTCTCACAGTCATTCTAGTGTTGTGCTTTTAAAAAAGATAAATGAAAAATCATTCTAATTATACCTGAGCTATTTATTCTATAATCATCATTAAGAACATGAAAGCAACTAAATGCCGTAAAAAGCATCAAAGTATTTTCAAACACATTTTCAAAATACTTGCTTTTTTATCCTCAAGAAATATTTTCTGACACAAACTAATTGAAATGGTCCATCTAACTATTTTAAAGCAAGAAAATAAAACTTTTTTAAAAATGCCTGAAACTCAGGCAAATCAGCCCAATATTT